TTTTAAAAATTCTTTTTTGCAAAGTATACACAGCGTATTAGTTCCCCTCTCACAATTTCTACATAAAAGCTTCAGTGACATCATTGTGTGCGTTCGAGTGGGAACCTCCAGCAGGTTTTCAAGGCTATACATTGCATGGGAGGAAATTGCCTATCTTTCTCTTGTGAGAAGCTAGTGGATTTGAACCCTCTGCTTTTGGGTTGGAAGCCCAATTCCTTACCTGTAAGCCACATTTTAAAGCATGGCTCAGCATTCTCATTCACTGTGTTCAGGCGTTCCCTCTCTGTCTCTCTGATTTCATTTCAGCTCCTCATCTTTGCTTTGGGGTAACCGTTGACCTTTTGTTCTAAAATATAGGTTTCCTTTTTTAAAAAAAATATTTTACTTGTTGTTATGTGCCATCAAGTCGCTTGCGACTCATAGTTACTTATGTATTTAAAAATTTAATTATTTTGTTGTTTATGAGACTATATTTAGCAAAATATATACCAATTCAAGTTTCTGCATATCCAGTTTGGTGATAATGATTACACCCTGAATTGTGGAATTCTTTCCACCTTCCTTTTCTGAGTTGTTTTGCCCCTGTTAACAAAAATTCACTACCTTCAGAGTTCCTAATTATTGTCATTTTGATCTCATATAGATTTAAAAGAGCATAACGCTCAAGGCAGACATTTTTAAGCTCTTGTGTGATGTCAGGTTGGAACCAGTTCATAGCTGCTCCTCCACAAGATACTACTTTACACCCACAAGAGTGAAATGAAAAGATGAGAAGAAACCAAGTCTCAGCAAGGTGTTGGTGTGCACCTGGGACTCCTGTACGTGTTGCTAGTTGCCAGTGTAAATTGTGCACACAGATTGGTAAACAGACAAACAATTTTTCAGAACGTTACTCACAGTGTCGGGTATGATCTGGTAATGATCTATTCCTAGCTTCACAGTCAAGCAAAAGGAAAACATACACACATAAGCACACGGATATTCACAGTAGCTTCTTTTTGCAATAGCAAAAATTAGAAACAATCTAAATGTCCATTACAAAGCATATAAACTCCAGGTGCTGACTGAAACAGACCATCAACAACTCATGGTCAAGTTCAAGTTGAAGATAAAGAAATGAAAATAAATCCCCAAGAACCAAAATATGACCATAAAGTCTATCTGACCTGAATTTAAAAACCATCTCAAGGACAGGTTTGAAGCACTGGACACTAATAAACAAAGACTAGATAGGCTGTGGGATGACATCTATGAAGAAAGCAAAAGGTCATTACAAAGACAGAAGAAGAAGAAAAGAGCAAAATGGATGTTAGTAGAGACTCTTAATAATGCACTAGAATGCTGAGAAACCAAAACAAAGGGAAGAAATAATGAAGTTAAAGAACTGAACAGAAGATTTCAAGGGCAGCTCATGAAGACAAAGCAAAATATTATAATTAAATGTGCAAAAACTTAAGTCAGAAAATCAAAAAGAGAAGAATTTGCTTGGTATTTCTCAGGCTGAAGGAACTGGAGAACAAAGTGAAGCCCTGCATTGCAACACTGAAAGATGCTATGGGGAAATTCTTTTAATGATCCAGGGAGCATAAAAAGAAGATAGAATGAATATACAGAATCACTATACCAAAAAGAATTGGTTAACACAGAACCATTTCAAGAAATAGCATATGATCAAGAACAAATGGTAATAAAGAAAGAGAAGTACAAGCTTCTTAGAAGGAATTGGGGGGGGGGAGGAAGGCTCCAGGAATTGACAGTATATCAACTGACATATTTCAACAAACAGATGTAGCCCTGGATGTGCTCACCAAGTTATGCCAAGAATCTGAAAATCTGGAGGACAGCTACATTAACTGACCGGAAAAGATCAATATTTATTTCCATTTCAAAAAAAAGGTGACTAAACATAATGTAGAAATTACTGAGCAGTATCATCAATACCACATGCAAACAAAATCTTGTTGAATATTATTAAAAATGTCTAGAGCAGTACACAGAGAACTGCTGGAAATACAAGGTGGGTTTAGAAGAGGTCATGGCACTAGGGATATTATTGCTGACGTCAGATGGATCTTGGCTGAACGCAGAGTACTAGAAGGACGTCTATTTGCGTTTTATTGAAAATTCAAAGGCATGTGACTGTGTGGATCACCACAAAATGTGGCTAACATTGAGAAGAATGGAATTCCAGAACACTTGAACGTGCTCATGAGAAATACCTAGACCAATAAGTTGTCTGAACGGACAATCTTGCTCTGTTTAGACAATAGCTTCTTGGTCTAGGTCTCCCATGAGCACATGTTCAATAATTTCTACATTTTGTTGAATTGTTTTTTAGACTGGGAGATGTTAGTGCTAATAAGCCTCTGAACGCTCTTAAAAACTTTCCCCAGAGGACTGGCAGTGAAGGGATGTCCTAGCCGAGTGGGGTGATGGAAGCAGAAGCGGGAAGCGGCTGCTGGTGGAGAACCTCGTTCCCATCCTCTCGCCTCCCAGGGCGCCTGTTGTTTGTTGTTGTTGTTACGTGCCATCGACTCGCCTGCGACTCATAGCGACCCTACGTACAACAGCCCTAAACTCCGCTCTATCCTGTGCCAATCGCACTGCCTCTGACACACCCATCCCGATTACCCCAGTCACTGAATCAATCCACCTCATAGAGGGTCTTCCCCTCCTGCGCTGTCCCTCCACCCTCCCAAGCATGATGTCCCTCTCCAAGGACCGGTCTCTTCTCACTACATGTCCAAGTATGTTAGACGGAGCCTCAGAATCCTTGCCTCCAAGGAGCCACCCGGTTTAATCCTTTCCAGGATGAATCTGTTTGTTTTCCTAGCAGTCCATGGTATTCTCAATACTCTTCTCCAGCACCACAGCTCAAAGGCATCAATTCTCCTTCTATCCTCCTTGGCCATTGTCCAACTCTCTGATACATAACAAGTGATGGCGAAGACCTTGGCCTGTATCAGACGCACCTTAGTCTCCAGAGAGACACCATTGCTCTTCAGTACTTTGGAGAGGTCCCTAACAGCAGACTTTCCCATGGCAATGTGCCTTTTAATTTCCTGGCTGCTGGTGCCAAGACTGGTGACTGTGGAGCCAAGCAACTAAAGCTGTGTACAATCTCAATCTCTTCACCATCCATTCTGATGCTGCCAGTTGGTCCAGTGGTGAGAATCTTTGTCTTCTTGACATTGAGCCTCAATCCATATTGTAGGCTGCAGTCCTTGACCCTCTGCAGCAGGCGCTTCAGGTCCTCCTCAGTTTCAGCAAGCAGGGTTGTGTTACCCTCATAACGCAGATTGTTGAGGCCTAGCGTCCTCGTTTCCTGGCAACCGGTGCTGGTTCTTACGTCACTTCCGCCCGGAGACCGGAAGTGAGGTCGGAGGCGGGCGCCTTCCGGGAGTGCGCGGTCTCCATGCGGCCGGGGGTCTCCTCTTGCCCGGCTCGTGCGTCCGCGGCCAGGCCGAGGGTCTCGAGGGGCGCTCCCCGGGCCCCGGGTTCGCGGCCGGGCACCGACCTGGAGGAAGGCGCTGCCCCGGCCTTCCGAGCCTCTCTCCAGCTTAGCCCTTTCCACGGCTCCTAGGACAGTGCACTGTTCCGCGTCCCCTTGTCACTGTCCAGCCGAGAACCCGTCCTACGCGCCAGTCCCGGCCAGCTCCCCCTCCCCTCGGCCCAGGTCCCGCGATGACCGCGGTGTGAGCAAGTGAGTGGCCTGCGACCGTGCGGCCCGGGCCCTGTCCGAGCCCAGTGTCCAGTATCGGGGTGGCCTGGCCCCGCAGCGCCTGGGCCACGTGTGTGTGTGTGTGTGTGTGTGTGTGGCCTTCGTTAAGAGCTTTAGCGGGGTTTCCTCTCGTCATTGATGTAAACGGGAGAAATATCCCCGTTTTTAGATTGTGGGAAGGAGCCCTGGAATTGGGCGATTCATTGGGAAAAGTTGTTGTTAGGAACCCTGTCCTTCCCTGCTCTGTCCTCACCGTCTCGGACACACTGGAGCCCGTGGTTGCAGGCGCTGTCCGCTCGCCTAGTTGAGGGTCTCCCTCTCCTTCGCTGTCACTGCCCCTTCCCAAGCATGATGTCCCTTTCCAAGGAATCACCTCCCGGCAGCATCTCTGTGCATGTAGGTTGGACGTTGCAGCTCAGTGCCCTCTCGCATTAGGGGATTCTGAGTGGGTTTTGGATTGTGAGTGTGTTCGTAAGTTCTTGGACAAGATCTGTGGCATGAAGTACTTCTGTGACCCTCATAGCCCTAAGTTCATTGCAGTTTTACATCCAAGTTCATAGCACATATGTGCGTGTGCAGTTGCCTTGGAGGAAGTGCTTAGAGGCAAGAACGGGGAAACTTGTCTCACGTGTTTTGGGCATGTTGTCAGGAGGGACCATCTGGTGGCTGAGTGGGAAGGAGGTGTGCTGCCACCACGAAGGTGCGTGGTTTGAATCCACCAGCTACTTGATAGCAAAATGCAGAGTCTCCCCCTCCCTGCAATTAACAAACTCTGAAAATCTGCTGGAGGGTCAGCTGTTGTTCTCTTCCAACTCAATGGTACACAACAAACAATATCAGAAGGGACCTGTCCTTGGAAAAAAACATCTTGCTTAGTAAGGTGGGGGGAGGGGGCTCAGAGGAAGAGAGCAAAAGCCTCCAAAGTAGCTTAACACAGTGACTGCAGCGCTGGGCTCGAGCAGGTGGGAGATGGTGAGGCTGGGACAGGAAGGCCAGGGTACAGATCTGTTGTTTACAGGGTCACTGTAAGTCACCATCCACTCAAGGGCACCTAACACAACAGTGTGTGTACACACACACACACATATGTCAATGGGCTTATTTAAACAGAAACAAAAAACAAGGCCTTTTTGAAAGGTCAATGCGTGTGTCTCAGCCGAAAAGAACCGTGACGCTTGTGTATCTTTGGAAGACGGTGGTCATGGTGTTTACCTGCTGTGTTTTCTGTTTGTTTTGTAGGTGCTGAGTCCCAAGCTGACTGAACCCCAGTTGTGCCGTTATGGGGAACCAGCTCGCTGGCATCGCTCCTTCCCAGATCCTTTCTGTGGAGAGCTACTTTTCTGACATCCATGACTTTGAATATGACAAAAGCCTGGGCAGCACGCGGTTTTTCAAGGTGGCCCGGGCTAAGCACCGGGAAGGCCTGGTGGTGGTGAAGGTATTTGCCATTCAGGACCCCACCTTGCCTTTAACCAGCTACAAGCAGGAGCTGGAGGAGCTGAAAATCAGGCTGCATTCTGCTCAGAACTGCCTGCCCTTCCAGAAGGCAGCGGAGAAGGCCTCTGAGAAGGCGGCCATGCTCTTCAGGCAGTACGTGCGGGACAACCTCTACGACCGCATCAGTACGAGGCCCTTCCTCAACAACATTGAGAAGCGCTGGATCGCCTTCCAGATCCTCACCGCCGTGGACCAGGCGCATAAGTCCGGAGTCCGCCACGGGGACATCAAGACTGAGAACGTGATGGTCACCAGTTGGAACTGGGTCCTTCTAACCGATTTCGCCAGTTTCAAGCCCACTTACCTCCCAGAGGACAACCCCGCAGATTTCAACTACTTCTTTGACACATCGAGGAGGAGAACGTGCTACATCGCCCCCGAACGCTTTGTCGACGGGGCAATGTTTGCCACCGAGTTGGAGTACATGCGGGACCCTTCGACTCCGCTTGTGGACTTGAATAGCAATCAGAGGACGAGGGGAGAGCTGAAGCGAGCAATGGACATATTTTCAGCAGGTATTTGCATCGGTGCAGTTTGCTAATGGGAATGTCTATCTATTTTGACTGTTAAATGCAGACACATTGCTTTATCTCCAGATGTTAAGAAATGAATCTCTTGCCTTGTCTTTGTGTACTGTTTCACACAGATGTAGCAAAAATACATGAAACTTCCTGTATTCATGCTGCATCTCTGTGAAAGAGTATAAAAGATATAAAAACATAAATGAAATGAGTATATTTAAGTGCCCAGAGAGTGCAAAGAGCAAGCCATTCATTTAAATAAGGAATATTTGAGTATTGGTGTGTCAGATAACAGTGACAGACGTGGATTACATATGTTCTTTTTGAGTTTATACTTCCATGTGGAAAGGTATTGATAAAGGGAACGGTGTGGTATGATTCACTGGATGTTGACGAGCGTCATCTGTCGTTCTGGGAGCACACAGGTGCACGGGTTGGTCTAGGTGGAGTGCTGGGTAGAGCGCCACTTAATTTAGTGCTGATATAACACAGTTTAGGAGGCTCAACAAAAACCACACCTGCGTCCTCAGGCCAGCGTCACTCATGGCGCGCCTCCTCCCAGTATCCGAGCTTTCAGAGGAGGAAATGGCCCCATTTTGTCTGGCCGAGCGGGTGGATTTGAACACCTGACCTTTCTGAAGGGAAGATCTCTGCTTCTGAATGGCCTTTGTTTGGGTTGGTGTCTCTTTCCGCCCTTCTCTGCTTGCTGTTCTGTCGTCCTCTGCGCATCTGTAATTGGCTTACAGGATGCCTATCGCCGACAGGGCCTTTTAACATAATGAAGCCTCCTTCCCAGAAGTGGTAGTGCCGCTCTTCCGAGTCCCCTGACCCCTGGAGACCCTGTGCTCAGTAGATGTTTTGCTCAGTAACTCTCATTCACATATATAGTTGCTAGTAGATTTGATGCTAGTAGATTTGATCCGCTGACCTTTGAGTTAGGTGAATGCTTAACCACTGTGTCCCCAGAGGTACCTACCAAAAAAAGGGCACAGGCCCGGTGCTGCAGCCCACTGCCGCCGAGTCTGTGCCAGCTCCTGGGCCCCTGCGTTGGGTTGCCGAATCCTGGGGAAGGAGACTGCCTGTCGTTCTTTCACGGAGAGGCCTACGTGGGGTTAGTGTTTGTGCTGTGTGTTTTTGAGGGTCACACTTCAGTCTATGAGGGATCAGGAAAAACCCTCTTTCCTGAAGGATGGCGCAGAAGCTGAGGCGTGGGTGAGAGGAGGAGGTGGGGCTGTTTCAGGCAGAGGCCATTGCAGAGGGTGATGTCTGGAGAGCAGAGTATGCTGTGTGGGTTTGCTGGCCACCTGTCTGGAATACCGCGTGAGAGCAGGCAGGCCTGGCGCAGTCTGTGGGGCACTGTCAGGTCCTGGAGAGGGGGACCCCCTGTGACAGGCTGTGCCTGTGAGTGTGGAGTGTCAAAACGACTGCGCTGATTCAGAGCTCTGCTGCGCAGGGTGGTGGCTGGGGTCTTCCCGGCGAGTTTGACTGCTCGGGACCCACGTGACAGCAGATCCTCCCCCTCGGAGGTCACCAGGCCTTTCTGCCTAGGGGTCACTGGGTGGGCTTGAACAGGTACCCTGACGCTTGGTGGCCAGTGCTCAGCCAACACACTGTCAGACTCCTTAAGAGCTGCTGTGTGGAACTGTTAGGACATGGTTGGAGGGTGAGGTCAAGACACCTGTTGTTTTTACTTTTGTGATTTTGGTGAACATGTTCAGGATACAGTGGTTTTCCATTCAGCCATTCATACCCATTTGTTTTTGACTCCGGCTGTGGTCCCCACAGCATCACAGCTCTCGCCCCCTTCCCTTTCTGTGTTGAGTCCATCTGTCCTGTGTCCTCTCCCTGTGTTCACGTGTCTGTCTGTCCTCCGTCCTCTCCCTGTCTTGATGAGTCCATTTGTTCTCCGCCCCCTCCTTCCCTGTGTTCTCATATCTGTCTGTCCTCCTCTCCTGTGCCTTGCTGCCTCCGGAGCTCTGTCCCTGGGCTGGAGCTCTGTCCCTGGGCCAGAGCTCTGTCCTTGGGCAGGCTGCCCCTTTGTGCCTGGGTGCTGGTTGTTCTAAGGAGTGTGCACCTGCTTGTGTCACTGTTCTCAGCTCTGCTGTCTTGTTTGGCTGGAAGTGCCGCTGGGCGAGCATTCCTTCTCCCTTCCCCCAGGACACTGGCTGGCTGGGTCACCAAGGTGCCAACAGAGGAGGGAAAGCAGAAGGGATGGAGAAGTGAGAAAGTCTGTTTCTGTGTTTGAGTTTTACAGAATTGTGGCAGATTGCATGCACCAGAGAATCTGACGTTGGAGCTGTTCTCCAGTGCATATCCAAGAGTGCATGCCCACGTGCACCAGCATTTACAGCCTGCACCACTGTTTCTACAACTTTGATCACTCCAGACACGAGGTCTGAGGTCTGCAGAGGCTGCACGCTGGAGGGAGTACAGGGAACGCACACTCGCGCACTCGGCTGGGAATTTTTCAGAAAGGGTTTGCCTTAGCGATTGGGCCGTTATCAGGAAGTTGGTAGCAGGTGCAGTGCAGGGAGTGCGTTTATGAAGTCATCCTTGAGCGGTTTGTCAACCCCTCTGGACTCTGGCCTCCATTTGAGGGAAAACACGTTTCTAGATCTTCTCTGACCTAGCGTCCCAGTGAGTGTGTGGAGTCAGGGAAGGTGTGTTGTGGGTCCTCGGGCATCTTAGATCTGCCAGGGTGCAGAGGAGGGGAAGCGGGCTCAGGGTGGCAGCCCGAGGAGGGCCATCTGAAGCCGTCAGCTGGACCACTCATCTACATTTGGTTGGCTTAATAACTTTCTCCCCTGTAGGTTTTCTACAAAGAACATGTAAATCGTGCCATCTTTGAGGTTCATTAGGAAATGCATGAGCATTAAATAGTGAAGAAATCTGTTCTGTGCAGGGTGAGTGAGTGAGTCCTGTTAGCAGGACTGCACCAGCGTTGTTCCACTTCCTCCTCTGGGTCCCAGGAACGCCTGGCGGGCTTTTGAGGGTTTTTTGCGTGTTCCGGCTTGTATTTATTCTCCCCTGACGTTAAAAAAATGGATTTATTTTTTTAAGTTTACATTGGTTTTCTTACAGAGTTCGTATGCATTGTGTTACATACTATCTTTCATTCACATTGTATTTCATATAATCATACACATTCATTATGGGTTTTTTTTTAATTTTCTACTCGTTTATTTACAAAATTCTAATACATTGTTTTCAAGAACAGATTCTTTCAATTTCCTTCATCCTCCATCCAACAAACTGTCCAACCCCATGATTAATTCCTTCTCCCCCTGCACATCCGCCTCCCTCTACTTCCCACCCTTCCCACCCCTCTTGGATCCTTATACTCATTCTATAATCATTATTGTTTTATAAAATCAATCACCATTAAGCCATGCCCTTCATTAGCCTGTCTTTCCAGATCCCTGTCTAATCTTCCCCATTTCTTTTACCTTCCTTCCGTCCACCCACCAAATTTTAGGACCCTATGATATCCCCCTGCCCATCCTCACTCCTCTGTTCCCACCCCTTCCTCCCTTGGATCTACGTACACGTTTTACTAGTTACCCTTTTATTTTTACAGTAATGGTCCTATGCAGTATTTATCCTTAAGAGACTGTGTTAGTTCAGCATAATGCCCTCCAGTCTCTCCCAAGTTATGTAGTTATTTTCTAAATTATTGCTTCTGAGTGCTGCGTAGTATTTCATCTTGTGAATGTATCACAATTTTGCAGTCCATTTAATTGTGGTTGGACATTTGGACTGTTGCCATGTTCTTTTTTTTTGTTGTTGTTGCCATGTTCTTGTAATTGTGAATAACACTGCTATGAACATTGGTGTATAAATCTCCGTTTGAATTTCAGTTCTAATTTCCTTAAATTCCTAGGTGTGGAGTGGCTGGATCATATGGAATTTCTGTGATCAGCTTTTTTGAGGAAAAGCCAAACTGCCTTGTGATTGAGTGATTGTTACCATTTTACAATCCCACCAACAGTATATGAGAGTTCTTATCTCTCTACATCCTCTCCAACATTTATTGCTTGCTGTCCTGTTAAAGTTGGCCCCTGCTATTAGAGTGAATACCTCACTGTGGTTTTGATTTGCCTCTCTCTCTCTCATGCCAGCTGTTTTGAGCATGTCATCATGTGTCTGTTTGCTATAAGTGGATAATGTGGACACACATGCACACATGACTGTGTATGTTCCTGGGTGCCTCTGCCTGGCTCTGATGCCTGTGGTCCCTGTGACCGAGCAGAACTGCCCTGGGATTTCTCGGTTGTCCTCTTTACTGACACAGCTCACCAGGAGCTGCTGGGTGGGCTTGAACTGGTAACTTTTTGGTTAGCAACCATGTACGTAATCAAAGGGCTACCAAGTCTTTCCTTCATGTCAATGCACATACATAAATATTGCCAGATTATCCTTTTAACACAAATATATTGTTGATGTACTTTCTTCATCTTCTTGTTTTGGGGAGGGGGGTTTCCATTCATTCATTGTTGTACTTTTCTCCCCTTCCAACCCTTCCCCACAGTACACTACCCTCTTGGAAAAGTAAAAGAAAAATTTTTTCATTGTTTTACAAACCTTCCCCCAGGTCCATTCCATTATGCAGCCTTCGCTCTGGACTCCTGTCATGACAAAAATACCTAATCACATATCCCTTTTAGACAGTTTTCTCCCTCATCTGTTTCAATGCAGTATACATTATTGAACCCATCTTTCTCAGTCTCCTCCCAACCCTGATGTCAGTCCTGTTTTACAGCAGTGGCACCATGCAGTATTTGTTCTTTTGTGACTGAGATACTTAACCCAGCATAATGTCCTCCAGGGTCACCCATTTTGAATAATATTGCATGAGTTCCTTGTTTTTCAATGCAGTGTAGTATTCCATTGTGTGACTATACCACAACTTCTCTATCCATTCGTTTGTTTATGGGCACCTGGGTTGTTTCCAACTCCTTGCTATTGTGAACAAAGCCACAATAAACATGGGTGTGCATATATCTGCTTGGATGTCAGTTATGGTCTCTTCGGGGTATATTCCCAGTAGTGGAATTGCTGGGTCAAGTGGTATCTATCTATTTGCAACTTTTTGAGAAAGCGCCATACCGTCTTCCACAGTGGTTGCACCATTTTATACTCCCACCAACAGTGAATAAGGGTTCTAGTTTCTCCACAACCTCGCCAGCATTTGTTGCTTGCTGTTCTGTTAAATTTTGCTATTCTGACTGGGGTGAGATGATATCTCATAGTTGTTTTGATTTGCATCTCTCTTAGAGCTAGGGATTTTGAACATTTCTTGATGTGTTTGTTAGCCATCTGAATGTCGTCTTTGGTGAAGTGTCTGTTCATATCCTGTGCTCATTTTTCTATTGGATTATTTACCTTTATCTTGTTGTGGTGCTCAAGTATTTTATAAAATCTGGATATAAGTCCCTTATCTGATATGTCATTATCAAATACTTTTTCCCAGTCTGTGGCTTCCCTTTTTACCCTGTTGGAGAAGTTTTTGGATGTGCATAGGGATTTGATTCTTAGAAGATGCCATTCATCTATTTTCTCTTCCCCTGGTTGTAGGGATGTAGTTTCTTAAAATAACAGCTTCAGTGAGATATTTACCATAAAATTCACTTTTTGGAATTATATAAAAGTCAGTGGTTTATATTCCTTGTTACTTGATTACTAAATGTATTCCTCAGTCTAAAAATCAGACCAGCTCACCAGCCCTTCAGCCCCCCATCCACCTTCCCTCGACCTCTCCGTTTTGTGAGGCCCGTGAGTTCGCTCGACCTCGTGGCCTCTCTGTGCCCAGCAGATTGGACACTGCCCGGACATGTGGTCCTGTGTGCTCACGGCTCTGCCTGGTCTGCTGTTCCCCAGGCTAGTGATCGCTCATTGTTTTTCTCTGCCGATTTGCCTGTTGTGGACATTTCCTATCAGTGCAGTCCTCCGTAGGAGTGGGTAGTTCAGTAGGCACTTGATGCCTGTCTGTGCCTGCAGGGTGTTCTGATGGACCGGCAGCCCTCCTCGCCCGGTAATGGGGCTGGAGTGAACATCAGCATTCACTGGCAGGTTTTCTTGGGGCTCCAGTTTCAGGTATTTCAGGTCTGGTTATTGTGAGGCCGTGTGGGATGAGGAGGGTGCTCTGGGGGTGGTGCAGTAGTTCAGCTCCACCAGCAGCCTGGCAGCGTGAACAGCTGTAGCAGCCTGCTTTCACCAGGTGTATGCCTTGCAGAACTCGTGGGGCAGTGCCTGTGTCCTGCACTGGGTGAGCCAGGGAGGGCATGGTGGGGGGGGGGGGAGCTGGGCGGTGGTCGGAACCATGTTAGCATTGTGAGAAATGGCCAACTCGCTTTCCAGAGTTGCTGTATCATCTTACATTCAGACCAGCAATTACATGCAGAGTTCTGATGCCTTTAAATGCTGTCTCATAGCTGCCACTGTCTTTGACTTATTAACTACTAGCCAGTCTGATGAGTGGGAGGGGCCTGATTGTGGTTTGATGTGCCTTCCCTGAATAAGGAATGATGTTGAGCATCAGGCCATGTGTGTATTAGTTATTTGTGTGTATTCTGTGGAGAAACCTCTGTTGATGTCTTTTATCTATTTTTAAATTGATCTCCCCCTCCCCCATTATTAAGGTGGTACAGTGCTTACTTAAGTGCCTGGCTGCTAGCCGGAAGGTTGGTAGTTCAGCCTCCTTTGGGGCTTTGCCCAAACCAAACAGATCGGCCCTCCTGCCTGGAGGCAGGGTAGATATGACTCTCCTTAGAGGACAGCGTGGCGGGCCTTGTGTCCTACCCTGTGGGCACGCTGTCAGGAGAGGCAGTAATGCTGGGCGGCCGGCGGTGCACACGGTGCCTATAAAGGTGGGCTCAGACGGGGCCGTGTGGTTGGGAAGGTGGGGCAGGACCCAGCCGTGTTTGGCTGCGTGTCCATAGCGTTGCTGTGGGTCAGAACCAGCCCCGCAGCCCTGGCACAGGGCTGTAGTGTGTGTAGTGTGTACACACACTCGGTTAAACCATATAACCAGTAGGTCATTGTATCTAAAGTGATTTTAAGAAGGATGATTGGCAAATGGTTAGGCAAATGAGCGTTTTCCTTGTCTTGCTTCATTGTGGTTAAGGCGTTAACATTTTAGTTCCATTAACTTTGGATTTTGTGTTTTGAGGTTTTTTTTTTAAATTATTAATTTCAGTGAAAATTTACAGAGACTTTGGATTTCCATTTATTCATTGTTGCACTGTGTTTTGAGTTTTTTTAGACTCCAGGTGTGTGATATGCGGTCATCATGTCTGCTGTTTAATTTCTAAGAGAGTTTTACTTGTCGTTCCAGGTTGCGTGATTGCTGAGCTTTTTACAGAGGGTGTGCCGCTGTTTGATCTCTCTCAGCTTTTAGCTTATAGAAATGGACATTTTTCCCCCGAACAAGTGCTAAATAAAATTGAAGATCGCAGCATCAGAGAACTGGTAAGTATGCAGCAGGCATCAGATCCCACCGCCTGCACTAGCCCTCGGGAAGGCTGTGATGTGGACCCAAGTGGCCTTCTACAGATGAATGCAAACCATTTATTGCCGCTCTGTTGTTGGAGATCTTTAACCATGTCCCCTTGAGTATAGTCAAGCATCACTTAGCGTCTGTGGTGTGTTCTGTGGAGGAGTATGCCCTGTGATTTCAGTTCAGTATTATATATGCGTGCAATTCTTGAATTACACATAAGTTCTGTTCTTTTATTTGCTTAAGTTTTGTTCTTAAATCCGTTTTTAAATAGAATTGACACGTACATGTGAATGGTTAGGTATAGTTTGTAGCTAATGTCAGTCAGCTTCTTTTCTTAGTATATGCCTTTCCGCGCAAACAGAAGGGACATTAAAGCAGCACCTCTAGATACCGTAAAACATCTTTACCATAATAATACAGAAAATGAGTATTGCAGTGCACATTGCACAGTAACCCCTGCTTGTTGTTATGAACCAGTGCACGTCCTTCAATGGTTACCGTGCTGGCTTCATGGGCGTGGGGACCATGGGCAGAGCCGCTGTCAGATGATGCCTTCGCGGACTTGGGCAGCACATGGCTCTGTCTTTAACCGTCATTCCTTACTATTGAGTTGGAGTCAACACCACTGAAATCAGGATCCCTGGCTCTGGAGTTGACGTGTCTGTTAGTGACGGCAGAGCAGACCTGCCCTCTATGCTGCCAGGGTGGTAACCATGGAAACAAACCACCTCCTCTTGCTCCTGAGATGCGGCTGGAGGGTCAGAGCTGCCTGTCAGCCTCTCACTTAGCACTTGAGCATTTGCACCACGGTGCCACCAGGGTTCTTTAAAGTCAGATTGGGCATATTTCCAGCGTTTGAAATCCTTCATACTTCTTCAGAAGTCATAAAACACCAGTTTATCTTTTAACTATATCCTCGTGCTACATAATACACCGAAGTGTGACTACCATTGAGAAGAATGGGAATCCCAGAACACTTCGTTGTGTTCCTTTGAAACTTACACCTAGACCAGGTGACTATTGTGTAAACACACCGGGGTACTCTATGGTTTAAAATAAAGAAAGTTGTGTGTCAGGGTTGAATCTCATTTAATCTACATGCTCAGAAAATTATTTGAGAAGCAGGATTCTGAAGAAGAACGTCATCAGGATTGGAAAAGATTCATCAATAACCTTGTTATGCAGATGACACAGCTTTACTTGCTGAAGGTTAGGGGGACTTGAAGTACTTTCTGCAGAAAAGTTAAACACTGCAACCTTCAACATGGATCACATTTCATCATCAAGAAAACGAATTGACGTTTGTTACCACTGGACCAGTAGGCAACATCATGATATATGGAGAAAAGGTTGAAGTTGGCAACGACTCATCTTGCTTGGTTCCCAATCACTCTTGGTACCAGCATTCAGGAGAGAAAGAGATGTCCTGGGCTGGGAAAATCTGTAGTCAAGGACCGCATCTGTGGGCTCAAGTGTGTCAGAGATTGTGAGGACAGGACAGGGTTCAGATGTGTTGTTCACAGGGTCACTGTTAGTCAGACTCGACTGGATGGCACCTCACAACAACAGCAAGGCTACCCTTCGGGAGCTCCGGGGGCCGAGTGGTAAAAAGGTCACATTGTAATCCCAAAGACATGGTACAGACCCACCAGGACAAGGCTGGACATTTCCTTCTGTGTGACTTAGTGCCTCTCAGGACCTGCCGGAGGGTCAGCTAGGAGTTGATTCCAGCTCAGCGGCACACAGCAACAACAACAGCAGCAGCAGCAACAGCAATAGAGCTCCGCTTAAGCCTTTAAATTTGTATCGATCAGGAACGCTTATTCTGGGATAGTTGGATAGGTTTAAGGGCTCTGTGAATCTTCCATGGATTACATAAAATTTTGTACGCAAAGTTTGTCCATTTATTTTCTCCCCGGGGCCATTTTCTCGAATTCTCACTAATGTGTGCCTTTCAGAAGATCTTCTGTGATAAATGAGGAATGCTGACTAGGAGATCATTTGTTCTTTGTATATTTGGGCTTTCGGAGTTTGTTAGTATGTCGATTCTAATGGCTGTTTAGGATGATAGTACAGTCATGTGCTGTTAGCTTCTGAAGGTAGTGTGTCTGTGAAGATGCTTGGGGTTTCCTCAGATTCTTCCTGGTGCAGACACCTTGTTGTGGTTGTCGGATCGATCCACTGTGCCGTTTGATAATCTTGGCTCTGTGTCCCTGCCCTCTGCTGTAGGTAACGCAGATGATTCACCGGGAGCCGGAAAAACGCTTGGAGGCGGAGGAGTACCTGAAGCAGCAGCGTGGCCAGGCCTTTCCAGAGATCTTCTACACGTTCCTTCAGCCCTACATGGCCCAGTTTGCCAAGGAGACCTTCCTCTCTGCAGACGAGCGCATTCTGGTCATCCGGAAGGATCTGGGCAACATCATCCACAACCTGTGTGGACGCGACCCTCCAGAGAGAGCGGGCGGCGAGCCCAGGGAGAGCGGGCTGGTGATCCTGGTGTCTGTGATCACGTCCTGCCTGCAGACCCTCAAGTACTGCGACTCCAAGCTGGCGGCCCTGGAGCTGATCCTGCACCTGGCCCCCAGGCTGAGTGTAGAGATCCTTCTGGATCGCATCACTCCATACCTTTTGCACTTCAGCAATGACTCTGTTCCCCGGGTGAGGGCCGAGGCCTTGAGGACGTTAACCAAAGTTCTTGCTCTGGTCCAAGAGGTTCCTCGCAATGATGTCAACATCTACCCAGAATACATCCTGCCTGGCATCGCCCACCTAGCCCAGGATGACGCCACGATCGTTAGACTGGCCTACGCTGGTAAGGACCCACTGAGACTACATGATGCGCACGTTTCTTTGTAGAGTTTAAGTGTAACTTTGATCCATATGCTATTTAAATAGACACAAATATTTTTTATAGCTAGTTTGTTCCTAGGATCCACATTGCATGTTGAAGGGATTGCAATTACTATGTGAGAAGGTATATATACCGAATTTGTTTTGCCAAGTGTTAGATTTAACTTAGAGGACCGCGGATGCTTCTGAAGCGTGTGGTGGTCATGTCTGTGGCCATTAGTACGGACAGTCTTTAACTCCCAGTTTCAGGATTTGGAGACCTGTGGCTTTGGGAAAGGATTGGTTTTGCTGGGAAATATTGTAAGGAGAGGACATGGCATTCTAATTTCCTGAATTTTTTTTATTTGTCTTCTCGTTATTATTGTCCTTTGTTATGAGATGGGTGCGCAGTGCAGCATGCCGACGTACTTTATTCATGATTGTCACTCGGAATCAGGTGACATAGATTCGTTGGTAGCTCCCCGAATTAATTTGAACAGGAGTATTTCTGCATGGAGGTCTCATTGAAATACTTACCTAACCTTGCAGTTTAGTTCTGTCCTGTGATGGAATGTAAACGGCTGTGTTTGGGGGGCTTTGTGAAGAGTCCACGCTGTGGCCCCATGACGGTTCTGTGGCTCTGCGAGACTTGCTAGCTCAGTTCATTCGATGATTTGCCTGTTGCTGCTTGTAACGATACACGTGAAAATAAGCCTCTGGACTCTGGCCGGACCTCTGCAGCCACGAAGGAAGTGCTGGTGGTTGGCTGGCTCTAAAGTGTCTGTGTTGTTATTTGTCTCCTAGCTGTAGGCATGGACTCTTCGTCACTTCTGGTAAAGTGCAGTTCTGATGCCTAAGTGCCATGACATAAGGCATTCCGTTACTGATGTTGTTGTGGTGCCATCGAGTCAGAACTGACCCAGAGCTGACCCTCCGCGGGTTTCCAGAGGCAGTAAATCCCATGGGAGGAGATTGCCCACCTTTCTCCCACGGAGCGGCTAGACGATTCAAACTGTGTGCTTTTGGGATTGCAGCGCAGCTTCTTACCCTAGGCCAGCAGAGCTCTCTTTCTGTGACTGACAGTCACAGCGTATTGCTAGCTGCTGTTTATTGATAACAGCTCTGGCAGGACTTCGCAGATTGTCCCAGTTAATCCCCGGGCAGTGGATGGAATGTTACCCAGCGGTGAGGAAGTGGGCTTTGTGAGGCCACATAACGTGACTGAAATGCTTCTGAGGCCAGTCTCAGTGACTAATCAAGACGCCGTTTATAGGGTAGTTCTCAGCAGAAGCTTCCTCCTTGCCCTCAGTAAATGTGTTGCAAGATTTTGATCCTTTTTTGTTGTTGTTGTTGTAAAAAAAAGGGGCTTGATTCATTATGAAAACTGACGGTCTGGGTATGACGTTAGTTACTAAAAATCTAATTAGGTTAAATGTCGTGATGGCAAGTACCCCCGCCTTCATTTTGTGGTTGCTTTTTACGTGTGTAAAGAAGTAGTGAGGAAAGGTCATAAACACTACAAGTCTTTTAAGATTATGATTATTAGCAATCAGGATTATAATTATTATGAATCATCGTTTTATCTTACAGAAAACATTGCCCTGCTGGCAGAAACAGCTCTGAGGTTTCTGGAATTAGTGCAGTTGAAAAACCTGAGTGTGGAGAACGACCCAGACGGTGAAGAAATGGATGAGGTGACACATCCCAGTGCGAACTATGACACAGGTGAGCAGGCGTCTTCCTCCTGAGGCCTGTGGTCAGAGCGAATTGCTAATGGTCACTTGCAAAATCCATGATTTGTAATTTTCCGGAACAGTAAAAGGCAGCCGGATCTGAGAGGGCAGACTCTGGATTTCCGATTGCTCTCGCTGTCCTCCTGCACTGTCATCTCACCAGAAAATGCCGCCATAGACTCTAGAGTCACTGGCTTTTCATCCAGAATTGCTTTGTGTCCACAGTAAAGGAGGGAGAATCTCAGCTGTCTATGTGAGAGTATCCCGAGGGTCATCAGCCACAAACTGCTTTATTACGTTTTGTCTGACTCTCGGAGAGAACCTCCCTCCCCCTTCACTGCAAGTAAACGGCTGTGACGGAAGCCCCTGAGGTCAGAGCTCCTGCGTCAGATGTCCTTACATGGTTTGCATTTATACACCGCTTCACGTCTGCCGAGTGAAAGGTTTAGAAATAAAGGATGATGTTTAGATGTGCTCCAAAGTGTTTCTGATGAACAGAAGTCCAGAATTTAGTTGGTGACATCTGTGACTATAGGCAGCTGGGAAGCTTCTGCTGTTTGCAAGGATGGTACCTTTTCTACACGACAGGTTACCTGGAGCTGAATAGAATTAAATCACCTCGAATGGACAGGAAGCAGCAAGCAGGAAGGAACTTCTAGGATTTTTCTTCCAGTGGTAGAATTCGAGCTTTCTGTCTTGGGAACACAAGGGATCCCAGTGGGCTGTGAACTGCAGGGTTGATGGTCCTGTTCTCCCGGCTGCTCCTTGGGAGAAAGGTGACAGTCTCCTGTGAAGCTTTACGGCCTTGGGGACCAGGAGGGCCGCTTACGCTGCCTGGGCAGTTGCTGTGAGCCACAGCGGACACAGTAGCAGTGAGTTTGAGTGGGAGACTTGGGTTCGACGGCCAGGTGTTGTCGGAGAAGGTAGCAGCCGGCTTGTGGGAAGCCCTCCCAGGAATTGTTCTCCAAAGGGCAGTACATCTGCCTGTACAAACGTAAGAGCGTGGTCTTTTCTCGCCCGATGGTCTCCTGAACCAGATCGGCACTTTCAGGTCTTCGGTAAAGAACCTCATAAGTGGAGCTGCATCATCCTCCCTCAACTCACATTGCTGTCGAGCCGGAACTGACCCCTGGCTGGCCCTCCGTTGGGTGTCTGAGCAGCGGATCACAAGGGAGGGAATCGTCACTTCTTCTCAGAGCCGCTGGTGGATTTGAACTGCAGAAGAGGGATGGCCTTTGGTTTTAGCACTTCCTACAGACTGTTGTTGTGTGCCACCGACTCAGAACCGACTCGCAGCTGACCCTCCAGCAGGTTTTCTGAGGCTGTGTATCTCACGGGAGGACTGCCCGTCTCTTACCCGAGGAGAAGCTGGTGGATTCCAGCCACTGGCCTTTGGGTTGTCGGTGCAACTCCTTACACTCTAGGCCACCAGGGCTCCCTCTCTCCAGACTACAGTGGCTTTTTAAGATATTCTTCAATTTGCATTTCAGTATCCTTCAGAGCTTTGTACAATGAAAAAAACTCAGTGGTTTTAGACTTCCTCCAGTGGCTTCTGTAATCACCCTATTCTTCCGAGTTTAAAGAGAGATGACTGGGTCTGTAGGGATGGGGATAAAAATTGATCCGATCTTTGTGATTTTTTCCTTTCCCCAGAGCTTCAAGCCTTGCATGAAATGGTCCAGCAGAAAGTTGTCACTTTGCTAAGTGACCCTGAAAATATCGTGAAGCAGACCCTGATGGAAAATGGCATCACGCGGCTCTGCGTGTTCTTCGGCCGTCAGAAGGCCAACGACGTGCTGCTGTCCCACATGATCACCTTCCTGAACGACAAGAACGACTGGCATCTGCGCGGGGCTTTTTTTGATAGTATAGTTGGTATGTTTTTCTGTTTGCTTCTAATTCATGTTGAAAATTTTGAATCTTTCTCTTAGACATGTAATGTGGTGTCGTTTGGAGGGTAAGTGGCAGCCAAATTTCATTAATAAGGTACTGATTTAGGAATTCTCTATCCCCAGTGTTGAGACAGTGATTTCCTTGTGTTTGTATCTGTTATGCTACTTTGCCTTATCTGAGCTGGTGATGGGGTTGGTTCGTTGAACTGGGTCACATTATTTGAAGGAATGTTGTTGTTTGGTGCCGCCGAGTCATAGACGACTCATACCCTATGAACGAAAGGCCTGAGCACTGTTCGTACATAGAGTTTCCGGAGGCAAGCCATTTCGGAAGTGGATGCCGCCCCTGCTTCCAGGCTTGAAGGAATACCGTGTTGTAATTAAGAGCTGTGTTTTGAATGAATCGGAGAACACACAGTGAAGTACAAATGTGGCTAAAATGGGCTATAATCTGCTTGCAGGATCCCAGTTGTGTGAAGGAAACAACAGAAATGTACGTTTTTGGGAATCGTTTTGATCATCCTGAAATGTTCATTTGTAGGATTTGAATTGTAGGTGATTATTGTCCTTAAATTTCCCCTAATTGTCAAGTTTTTACTGGGAACACGCATTCCTTTTAGACTTAGAAAATACATTTTCTAATAATTATTAGAAAATTATTAGAAAGCCCCTTAGAAAATCAGCCCAATTAGAAAAGTAAAACTGGGACAGGCGTTTGCAATAGAAACTGCTCACCAAGGATACAGTTTATCCCAAGACTGTAGATACTTTGTGTCTTTGTCTCCCCTTGACTCCTCTTCCAGTTTAGAGCCAGAATTAGAAAGTGCACTTAACTTTGGGTGGGTTGCATTTGCTGAGTGTTTATCTCTCTTGAATAATCGGTTTCTCTCCCTAGTCAGGAACCCTGGTGGTACTGTAGGTTAAGCACTAGGCATCTGGAAGGTCAGTGATCAGAAGCCACCGGCCACTCGGGTGGCTTCTTCCCCTGGACGCTTGTGGTCTTGGCCACCCCTGTAGGCAGCCAGCCCCGTGCTGGGAAGTTGAACTGCCCCTTCGAGTTTCCACATGGTCTGGGTTCACCAAGGCAGAGTGTGCTCCCGTGCTGCCCAGAGGACCTTGTCCTGAGCGCGTCTGGGGGTGGAGGTGTCGCATCGTGCTCTCCTTCTGGCTGGTGTCTCTGCGTCTCCTTCATTAGACCCCCACGTGCAGGTTAGGACTGACTCTCTTCCCTCCAGCGTGGCCTCATGCCAACAGATAGCATCTTCAGAGACCCTGTTTTCAAGTGGGGCCCCAGTCACTTGTCCTGGGGACTAGGATTTGAACTTAATCTTTTTTCGGAAATACGAGTTAATCCATAACACCTTGGGAAGGGCTAGTTTTCTAAACACCTATTTCCGAGTTTTTTTCTAGTGCTCCCATAGTCTATTCCAATAGCCACTTAATATTTTAACTGTTTCAGGTTTATTACTAAGTTTAGTATCTGGAAAGCTCAACTCTGTAGATGTTACTGTTGCAAAGTGTTTACTGCTGTTCTAGCTCCTTTTACCTTCAGTTTTTTAAATTCTTAAATACAATCCACTAGAATTTTGTTGTTGTTGTTGTTGTTATGTGCGTCGAGTCATTTGCGACTCATAGCGACCCTATGCACAACAGCCCTAAACCCTGCTCTATCCTGTGCCATCCTCACTGCCTCTGACACACCCATCCCGATTACCCCAGTCACCGAATCAGTCCACCTCATAGAGGGTCTTCCCCTCCTGCGCTGTCCCTCCCACCCTCCCAAG